AAGAGGACAAAACAGGAGCAGGAGACAAAAACGCTTCCGTTGAGAGGCTGTTAACAGGAAGTGCGGCCTTGTTTCTATGGCCTGGTTCAAGTCGGCTATACGGACATGGATGTTCTCAAAGAAATTTAGAAGGAAACTGACAGAGAAACAAGGGATATCATAAAACTTCCTTCTGGAAGGCAATTAAAAACTTTCAAATTTGCTCTAAGAGCACTCTTAGGAGTCGCTGGAGCCACACTGAGACAAAGTATTTCAAAGCTTTTCAAGAAAATAGAAGGGAACTGATCAGGATGTCCATGAACAACCCAAATGCTGCCAAGACTCACGCCTGCCATGAAAAGCTTGACCACCACAGTTGCTACTCTGTCTCACATTTAAAGGGCACCAACCAAAAAGGCAAAACACAACAATGACACGATCCAGTCGCAGAGATCTAGAGATAAACCCTTGATTTAATTGGATGGTTTTGGCTTTGTGTGGATCCATTTCAGATCGTGTTCAGTCTGTTGAACTTTCTGACAAGTCATTCAAGACTCAACGTCGTTTTGAGCGGAAACACAATGCGACTGACTTAAATTCAGTGTTACAGCGAAATGTGTGAAGACAGGAAAATGTGACAGAAACAAGTTTCTTCAACATTATGTGTAGATTTTGTAAATTGAAACTCTACTCAAGGGTTGTCATCAGCAGCCAGTTGATAACTATTTGACGAAACTAAAGATGACGCGATTCATCAAGACATTGCTGACATTCGTGGTTCGTACCTTGTGCCAGAGCAGGACGTCCTTGTCCATGGAATTCCCACTTTCACATGCATGTGGACTTCCGAGGTCACATTAAAGACGAGTTTCCCACTGGGTAAGACCACCGTTACTGTCGTCGTCTAAGTCATTACATGCAAGACCAAGCATGACACAAAAGGAACTGCACAGTTCTTTGTAATGAATCACACAACCTTGTCAACACCGAAGAATGTTTTAGATAATAGAATGATAATTTTGTACAATCAGATTGTAGCATATCTATCATTCTGCCGTTATAGTTCAGCTCCATCAACTTTGTACATGTGGAGACAAATTACTCTGTTTATCTTCTCTCTGCTTTTTGCAAACTAGCCTAAGCTCAGTCAAATTAGATTGACGCCATCCAGAATCTCAAATGGGTTTAGGTCTTCTCTTTGACAAGGACTACCTCTACCACATGTTTCACCATGGGACTGGTAGGTTGAGGTCTTTTTTTTTTTTTTTGAGAAATTGTGTCTCATGTTATGTCAGACATGCAACTTTCAGCAACTCGTTTTCTCTGCTCTCTCCACAGCCTGGCCTCTCGAAGACCCGCGTTTGCTCAACAACGCATCCCTGCTTGAAGAGTCAGGAAAACAAGAGACGCACAATTAGAACGTGCCTCGATCACCACAAACACAAAGGATCGGGCGTCTTCGCTCCTACATCGGGTCGTGACATTCTCAGCTGTCGCCGTGCGCTACCCCGCTTGATGAGTTTCCTCCCTCATCTTAAACATCTGCCAGTCTCGTTGTAAAACACACACAGATCCCTCATCCCTCCTCACATCAACATCACGAAAAGCTCGCAGGGTTGCAGCTACGTGACGCCCGCCGGGCGTGTCGGGTAAACTCATTAACTTCCAAAGTCATCAAATTACCACGCGAGGGTGTGCGTGCCTATAGCAGAGGCAGAAAAGTAGCGTCTGCATGTTGCATTTTCTCCTGGCCTGGTGCGCGAGCGGACGCGTGAGTGAGTGTGTGTGTGGCTCCAAGCAATAGGTGGTGGTGGGGGAGGACACTGTTCACTCTGCAATAAGCAAACTCCTGTTAAAATATTCATGAGCGAGCTTCTCGGCGGGGTGCACCAGGTTGAGCCGGGTCAAGCTCATTTAAACAGCGGAGTGAGTTAAAATGGGAGCAGCGGCTCTGGAGAGTGCCGGTTAGCGGAGGTCAGCGGGGGGGCAGGGACTGGAAGTAATTGATGAATTTAATACATTTAAAATATTTGGCCAAGTCAGAAAATAGTCTGTGATGATAGTTAGACTAAAATGCAGTGGTCATGACTAAAGATATTTGTTTTCGTGTTTATCTTTTAAAAGTTAACGTTAAGATTTGATATGCGGTTATCTGGAGTTGTTGGCTCTTTTCAAGGCCACATTTGGCTCCTAGGCTTTTTATACTGATGGTAACATCAAGTGTACCAAAGTACATATGAGCAAATTACAGTTTTTCCACTGCCATGCCTAACAGTTGGTTTAAAGATGTCTGCTATGTTTTGAGGAGCGTTTGGCGCTACAATACCAGAACTTCAGTTAGTTCAAATGTAACTTTGCTAATACCAGGCTTAAATAAATATTAGTAAGATAAGGAAGAGAGAAAAAAAGCCCTTTTAAAAATGGACGACTTTCCATGTTGGAGACATAGCAAATGTGAAAAATGGTGGTGTGGTTCAACAAGAACAAGTTGGTCATTTTTGGCCCACATTGGAAAACTAGTGGATGGGAAGACGGATGGAGGCAAAACCATCCAACACCTTAACCCTAACCCTACAACCCCTACCCCAAAAAAAAAAAACAGGTCAACCTGTCTGAAGGCCTGTTTGAGGATGAAAAAGACATGAGACTGTAGTAAAGTGGTAGCATGGAGCGAGCTACAACACCAGAGTGTGTTCAGCCTGCTGATCAAATTACCAAAGGAAACTCTTTACCAGAGACATTCTACAAATGTCTTCATAAATAAAACAAAGAAAAGCCTTGGCAACTGCTCCGTTTGTGCTTGGTGGCAGGTTGTCTGGTGTCGTCTTATTTGAAGCTATGGAAGAAAAAAACAAAAAAAAAAACAAACAAACAAACTAGTGGAGCTGAGAAATTGAGAAGTTAAATTTTCCACTGCCATGCCTAACAATTCAGAGAGGAGGCAGCCAGAGCACCAAAGTACACACAAATTTTAGTGTAACCTTTGCAAATATTGTGGTTTTTTGGAGATCATTTGCTTGGGGGGGGGAATAAAAGGACCATTTCCTCCATAGGGTGAGTGTTCATCACGCAGCAAACAGCTGGAGGCCTCGGGGAAGGTCGCCTGAGTGACCCAATTGTCAAATGTTACTGTGAAACAAGTTGGCACGCTTGTTCTTCAAAAACTGTTCCCTAATTCCACCATAAAAGACCGAGCTGCAAGTGAGAGTTGTTAAATCCACTTACCTTTCAGTGACCTTTAGTGTCCCACTTCTGCAGGCGACGAGGCTCATAGATGACCACCAGAAGTGGGAGTTTGATTATTTTCCGGTTGGGGCGGTTAACATGTCGTATTAGCAGAACGCTTCGGCGATGCCTCCAACATGATGCACGGCACAGCAAAATGTTTTCGGTCGATGAGGAAACAGGCAGTTGAGAAACCTCAGCATCAATATAGCTGCGGACAAGATCAGTGAAGCCGATTGTTCTTGCAAGGCTGGGTAAGTTGGGCATTCATCGTTTTGTAGGTTACTTTTGAAATCCTGTTGTCTGTTGGCAAATGTTGGAGTGCGCCCAGGCCTGATACACTGTACTTGGCGCTAAGAGTGGCTAACACGAGTCAGTTTAGTCAGAACCGGTTCTGCTAAAATAAAATCTTTAATGCATGTCAGATACACATTGCATATTGATCTGTTTAGCTAACGTAAGACTGTGTAGCAGATAGGCTTCAATGTGTAGAATTAGTATCAGTACTGATATTGTGCTGTACTTAGCTAACAGGTGTTCATGATGGATGTGTTTATTGCTGATTTTCTTTTTTTCAGACAGAAAAAGCATAAAATGATACTTACACCAGCACACACTCCTTTGTTCATGTTGAGCCTATGAAGGTCGAGCTGCTCATGCGGTCGTGCACAGGCTTTGATCCAAGCAAGGCTTTCTGCTTCCGATTTTGGAAATTGTGAATTTTTACTACCACAAATACAAGCAGGATGCCTGACATCACCAGTACAGATGCTCCACCGACAATGGAGAAACATTCTGTTTCGATCGTTGATGCGAAAACTTTCTGCTAGTACACAATGTAATCTGGCACTACATTAACTAGTGTTTACTAATGCATGTACATTAGTTTGTGTAACGGCCACGCATGTGGTCCCCGCGCTACTCCATAGAATGGGCATCAGCCAATGAAACGCGGCCCCTGTGGTAAGGTCCATAATCCCCAGGCTCTGTGTTCACTGTGTGAAATTCATACACACATTACCAACTCAGACAAGGAGAGAGAGTTAAGCTGTCATAGCATCACCAATTTGTCTCGAACGCAAATAAACTCTCTCGACCGGAAACATCGAAAACTGTGCCGAATCCATCAATCGAAGCAGCGGGGAGGGAATATATGAGCAACTAAGGCGTCAGTTTAGTGCGTCGCCTCAAACTACATTTAAATTACATGAAAGTCTGAGGGTATTTTTCTTTGTCTTCATCTCGCATCGTCTCAAAATAGGGCGACTTGCTGAGGGAGACGGCAGGAGGTTCAGTGTTACCAGAACAGACTCCCAGATCGGCCTTCAGGAGTGTCAGCTCATGTTTGGGAACGTCAACTCGAGTTATGTTGCTTTCATAAGTCATATGGAGGAAGAGATCGTTTAAAGACCAATTCCTCCTCCCCCAAGTCTCTCGGCTGGTCACTTGGACTGAAAAACATGAAACAAATGTTTGACTTCTCAATTAACAGTTCGAGAATATAGCAGTTAAATACAATCCCCTAATTATGAACCACCTTTAAGTTCATCATACAAATAAATGCATTCATTCAATCATTCAAGTTTATCCTTCAACTTTTGTCAAATAAAAATGTTGGTTGTGAGCTACAAATATCCTTCAGTAAGAAAATTAGCAAGCTAATCCTGATCTCCATCTTGAAGAAGCCCAGAAGCTTTATTGGTGTTGCACTGACCTCTGGTGGTTGGGCGGGGTACTTCGGCTTTATATGAAGGAACTTCAAGTTTGATTGTGATGAAGACAGAGAAGCATGATGGTACCTTAAATTCTTTTACTTAAATTAAAAAAAGAAAAAATGTACATCACATTATCTTTTACAATAGACATGTCTTTTTAAAAACTCTCTGGTTTCCTTACATTTGAATTATTTTGTATACAAATTCCTCTTAGAGAAAAAAAAAAAAAAAAGATCAAAAATAAGGAGCCTGTGTCAAATTACTCTCCATAAAAACCTGCAGTTTCTTCCACAGCTGACATACTGTATGTTGTGATTGTATCATAATAAAGTCTTTAGTCAGATGTGAGCTGTTTTACAGCTTTGACAGAATTCAGTTTTGATTTCTCCTAAACGACGCAGGAGCCCTGGAGATGTTCCACAGTTTATACTCTGTGAGAATCACTTTGATAATGAAACGCTTTGTCTGAGAGCCAACACTTCGATAATACTAACACACAGTTAACAACATACTTCATGAAAGAGAGGACACCAGAAGAAAGGGAAGAGATGACATTTCTGGTTTTGGAAATGGTGCAAATCGACAGTCCAACACGACCGCCTCTGCTTTTCATTTTAACGTGTGATTGTGATGCTTCTGGCAGCTTCATCTACACCTGAACGTTAACTTTAGCATGACGTCGGAAGCTTAAAATACTGATTTTGTTGCTGCTATGGTTGATTCTTGCGTACTGGCGAGCAGAGGGGGTCATGAAAGGTAAGTACTGATGAGCCCATGTAAGTGGAGACCAAAAGAAACACAATAACATAAAAGCATTTCAGAACAGCAAATAAATGGACAATAACTCCAAAATGAAAGGAATTCAAACTGGGTGAACGAAAGTAGAAACATCAAACCATTTTCAATGTAAACATGAGCATAGGCAGAGCATGGCAGACAAAAACAAACGATTTGGCAAAAACAACGACAAAAAAAGAATGTTCCACTTTCAGACATGGGTAATACTCCATGGGACAGCCTGAACTTTCCCAGAACGTCAAGATTACCAGAACCAACTAAAAACATTCTTAGAGCCATCATAGAACTTCATGGGTTCTACTGATACACGATTACAATGAGGGATTGGTGCAAAAGTCAGTGACACAATGTAATGGGCTTGATTTTCTGGATTCAGATTATCTATCAGTTTTGTACCTTGATTTGTTGTAAATCTGTGCCATGTCAACAAAAAACAACAAAAAAAACTCAATTACTTCACCTGGAGCTTTATAACAAACCTACTAGTGCTTCCCAAGAATATACTAGGTACTTTTTTGAGGCTTTTACCACAACTCAAACAGAACTTTTCTGGTTTGCGGAACATTTTCTGAGAGCAAAAATGTTTGTGAGAGCACTGCTTCATTCCTGCTCAGGAGCTCCACCTGGTGGTGCATCACTGGTAAAAGTGATTTGATTGCTGAGAAAAAAAAAAAAAAAGTAGAAAAAGGGGCCAAGTTCTGGGAAATTAACCTTCAGTTCCAGGAAAGTGGAGGCTCTATTCCATACTGCTACCAAAACATGATGCATTCCTTGCTATAAATGTGTACGACTTTGTAATGATCCACAAGTTCTCGGCGCGAACAGATTCCAAAAGATAAATGAAAAGCTTTAAAACAATAATCTCGCACTAAAAACAGGCTGAGCTGGTCTGCTGCATTTCAAGCAACTTCATATCCAGCTTGGTTGATCCAGACTGAGAACAGGAGGAGTTAGGATTTAAGAGAAACCCAGACATTTCCAGTGTTGAGGGCAGTTCTGAAGGGCAGTTCAGCTAAATCCTCCGTTTCCCTGGAGGATCGTAGATTCAGACCAACATCAAGGTTGTTGTTCTTTTTTTTCTTTCTTTTTTTAAAGAAAAAAAGATCAGAAACAGAGGAAATGTCAAGGCTTCCCCCTTTAACAGTGTTAAGGACATACATGAAGGTTAAATGGTGTGCTGCTGGAGAGTGTAAAAGGAGCTACTCTATTACATCTGTACATCAGTCGCACTAAAACGTCAGTCTTTCACTGCATTCTTCTCACAAAAAAAAAAAAAAACCAGAAAGTGTCTTATGTGGTTTGGCATTACATTTCTACATAGCAAGCCATTCGACAAGAGAAAAGACCAGCTTTAGTCCTGTGAATTTCAAAATAAAGTGACACTGAAGATGCTTCAGTCGACTACTGCTTGAAAACAGAGATTATCTGGAAGCAAGCAGACACAGTGCCTAAGAAAAGTATTCCACCTAAACTGACCAGCCATGAAAGGAGAGCATTCATAATGGGAGGCTGGACAACCATTCATGTGTCTTCCATTCTTGGACCTGATTAAACCAGTCGGATTGAACTAAAATGGACTGAACTTATATAGCGCTTTTCCAGTCATTTTGACCACTCAAAGCGCTTTACACTAGAGTCACATTCACCCATTCACACTCAGAAAGGCGCACACATTCATACACCGATACGCAGACCGGTAGGCAATTTGGGGTTAAGTGCCTTGCCCAGAGGCACATCGACATGTGGCAGGAGGAAGCTGGAATCGAACCTACAACCTTTCGATTGCAAGATGACTGCTCTGCCAAACTGCCACAGTCTAAACTAGTTATTTAGTCGAAGAGAAATAGAAAAGACCAGCATTTGGAAGACGCGACTCAGAAAATGTGCAAAATAAATGAATGGGGGAAGGAGAGGGATAAATGAAAAGATCCCACAGGTCAGAAAATATTATTCCTTCCACCTAACAACACGGTATTTGGTGGTAAAACTTTGCTAAAATGTGTCAAATGAAAAAGTTAAGAGGTTATGGATACATTTCTGAGGCACTGTACATCTTGTTATTGTAGAATGATGTTTCTTGTTATAATTGACCTAATTTCGAGTGCGATAAATCAGAATTTTTTTTTGTACATTTCTCTACGCAAGCTGATATTTATTTCCAGCTGATAAATAATCTGAGGGTTAAATTATAATTTTAATTCCACATTTTATTCATGGGACTTCAGAGGCTGCTTTTGTTGAACAAATGAACGCGTCCAACACACATCCCAACCAGTTCAGTTAGGATTTCTGGTAAAGTGCAGCAAATATACCAGCTGTTTAAAAAACAAAAATAGATTTCTTCCACACAGCTTGTGAGGAATCTGCGATTTCAAACCGCCTCGTATCTAAATGGCAGTCAGCGTTGTGCTCTCGTCTCGGATACAATCGGCAGCTCGGACCACAGCTAGCGTCCAAACAAAGAAAACAAAGGCTGTTTGTTAAGAAAATAAACAAAAAAGACTTCCAAAGGATAAGGCGGCAGAAAAAGAGTTCACGACACAGTTCACTTCTGCACACTTACAAAAAACACGGAAGCAGAGGCTGAGACGTTTCGTCAGTTCGTAAGCCGGACGGCGGGGGCGAAACGCGTTCAACACCCGAAGACGGCGATGTAAACTAACAGAAAGGCTCTGGTGTCAGTTGCAGGCTGACGTCTTCACAGCTAATAAAACGCAGAAGAAAACAGAAAAGGTCGGACATGTTCACACCTCTGGTTCTGTTGAGTTTAGCCAAGAGGCACCGGTTTGACATGAATACTTTGATATACAGCAAGAACTTCTGCATCCGGCAGTTTAAAGTAGGTTCTGTTATCTGCTAGACAGAGCTTCCTATTGTAGCAGATGGCGCCCCGTTGACTGGGAGTGGTGGAGAAAAAAAATAAAATAAACAACTGACGCACAATAACACGCACAACCACACATGCAACACCAGAACCAAGAAAGCCAGAAAAAGTCAGTTGGAAGAGGAGATCCAGCTCCTCCATCAGCCCTCTGCCGATTGGTTAAAACTACTCCTCTGTTAGCGCCCCCTTCAGGATGAGCAGTGTCCGCTCGGTGCCTCCAACAAGAAGCTTGCGCCCGTCCAGAGAGCCGGAGGAGTTTGAGGGAAATCGGAAGCTCCCCAACATCAACCAGGAGTGGAAGTGAGGAAGGACCTAAAGCTCTGTGCTGGCCGGTGGTTTGGAGGTGGTCACAATCTTCATGTACTGGGTGAAGATGGTCTCGAACGCCTCGTCTCTGTGGATCATGGCGCCAAACACCAGCGGCTGCAGAAGACACACGCTAAACTGAATCGGGTTTATTGGGGAAACACGAAGACTTCTGTTTGCAAGAAGTGATCTGACCGTATTAAAAACAACTATTATTACATGTGGTCGCCAAAGTTCTTTATACCATAAAACCATCATGCAGTCAACAATTATGAAACAAGCAATACATATTCCAGACAAACATCAAGCAAATATACATCAAATCTATTGATTAATGTTCCTGTTGTGAAACAACATCAAGTCTGAACAGGTGGAGTTTTAGCCATGATTTAAAGGAACTCTGTTTTGCAGTTTTTTGCAGGTTTTTTCCAGATTAAAGGAGAATAGAAACTGAATGCTGCTTCTCCAAGTTTGGTTCTGGTTATAAGGATGCAGAACAGGCTAGACAACCAGTTTTTAAGTTGATCAGAGATTTATAAACCAACTGTGGCAGTAACCAAGCAACTGAAGATAAATGCATTGATTAGTTTTTCTAGACTTTGCTGAAGCATTAGTCCTTTAATCCTGGAAATATTCAGGTGACAAAAGTTTAACTTTGTAATTGTCTTTATGTGTCTCTGAAGGTTCAGGTCTGACTCCTTCATTTCTTCTCAGATTTCTTCCAAGCCTTGCTGGACATTGAGATAAGCCTGTAGTCTTATTCCACCTTGCAGGTTTCTTGTCTAATCTTAGAGAGTCACCGCCATGCCACAGGCATCCATAGATCTGATAACATCCAGTTTCGAGCTTTTTGAGGTTTTGGATCAGCTGTGGCTTATTTGCTGGAATTCAGACATAGAACTCTTCTGGGTTTACTTTGGAAACCAAATTTTGCTGCAGGTGTTTTGCAGTCAGTCCAAAGTGCTGGGGCCACCTGGCCTCCTTAGGAACCTGGCAGCTGCCACTGATTGCTTTCAACTTCGGTCCAAGTGGCACAACTCTGGAAACCTTTGAAATCTATCCCATGTTTTTGTAACTTTTAGATACAATGCAACCAATTCTTCTCTGAATGCTTGGAACAAAGCCCTTAATTTGATACCACATTCTTGCTCAAGCTTACAGCCGGCGCAATAATTGAAAAGTTTAAAAACGGCTGGCATGGAAAAGGTTGGATGAAGAGCTAAGTTTGTTTTTCCCCTCCACACAAAGGGAAGGGAGGCCAGGAGGTAAAAACTGCCTCACAAGCTCAATGTTCGAGAACTGCAGCAAACAATGTCCACGTCTTCCTAGCAACCATGAAACACCTTTCACACATCCAGCCAGGAGCTGAAGAGTGATTCCAGGAACAAGTGTGCTGCATCCTAGCAACACAAGCATATCATATTTGCTAAAAACCAATGAGAACTAAAATTACAGGAAATGAAACTGACATTTTTACTAACGTGTTCTGTTATAGTGTATGTCTGACGAGCTTGTTAGCTTCTACAATTGCAAGAATAATGTAGTTTCTGAAAATAAAAAGCTCACAGTGATATTTTTCAACAAGTGAGGATATTATAACTGATTACAACGCCCCTTTAAAGAATTTGAGCTAAGGCTTCAAGTATAGTGGATCTTGCTAATGCGTGAAAATGGCATCAAAATCCTCAAAATACAACAATCTGCTAGTCTGTGCCAGCAAATCTAAAGCTCAAAAAAATTGTATATTTGACAACAATTTTACAATCAACCTTCAAACGCTCACATCAACACCAAAATACATAAAAGAATCTGCTGCTGTTGTATCAGCCTTCCAGAACACAGCATGCAGAAGCAGCATTCAGTTGTTAGTATGCTCCATAAATCTGGAACAAATTTCCAGAAAAGTGTAAAAAGTGTAAAACTGCCAGAAGACCAAGTTCCTTTACATCCAGACTAAAACCTCGTCTGCTTAGAGGTTCCTTTGATTAGTAATAAGTCAAACACTGATCAACATATTTGATGTGTATTTGCTTGATGATGGCGTTTGACAAAATGTAATGTTTGTTTCATAATTCTTAACTGTGTGACGCTTGTATGATGTAAAGCACTTTGAAGTGTCTTGTTGCCGAAATGTTCTATACAAATAAACTTGACCTGTATGGCTAAATTTCAAGCAGTTACACTTGGCCATGGAGTATGAGACCAGACGCCATCACAACAGTGTGTTTACGGTCTCTTAAGAAAGCGAAGCGCTCACCTTCTGAGTGGAGGGAGTGGCTATAGAGATGCCCATGCCGCTTCCAGGCAGGACTGACAGCACTTTGTACTAAACGGGGATAAAATTAAATGGTATTAATTTAGGAAATTCATTAAAGTCAAACAACGTGGATCATAGAAAGTGTTTATATTCTGGGATACATTTTCTGGCCTACAGGAAGGTGGAAAAGGGAGAATACCTTCTGGATGTCAGTGATGTCCACCAGCTTGATCACTTTGTTCTTCTTGGAGGAGCTGGATTTGGAGCTGGAACTCTCAAAGCAAAGATAACTGACAGACAAAAAGGGAGGGAGGGAGTAATGGCGGTCAAAACGGTTCTTTTTAACTTCTTCATTGGTCAGTTCCTCCACATGAGTGACAAGGGTTAAGCTTACTTCTCTGTGACATAAAGAACTCCATTCCTGATGTAGTCCGTGGGCATCTTCCTATCTCTGTTTATCAGACAACACCTCCAGCCGTTCTCGCACACTAAGACAGAAAAAAGAAATACCTCAGATTCAATTTGTAGCCTTTGACGACCTCAGTTGAGAGTTTCCAGTGGTTGTAGTAAGCTTCCGCACCCGCCAGAGGGCGCTCTGTTTCCGGCAGGTTGAAGATCTCGTGGAAGGGACCCTTTTTGGTGCTGTGGGAGCGACCCGCGTCGTCTTCTCTGCTCATGCCGCTGGGGACTGTGGCGAGGCTGCTCCGAGACACCACCGGCTGAACCTGGTGGAGGCAGGCGGGGATGAGGAGAGGTAGGAAGAAACGGCAGGAAGAACAAACGAAAAAGATACCCAGAGAAAGGATGACAAAAATGAGATGGTCAACAATAGCAACACATGAAAAAAGAAAAAGAAACAAACAATGAGGGGGGAAGACAAAGAGGTGAAGAGAAGTGGAAAGGGGGGGTAAAAGAGGGAGAAACAGGTTACGTGACTGATAGATCCTCCATAAATCATCTTTGGCTGTTAGTACTGAACAATGCGCAGCTCTGCATGTGCACTTCATTGCGTCAGGCTCAGGTGTAACGTGCAAAGCAGAGAGGGAGGCTGCCATTCAATCAGCCTCTGTATGAGCACAAACCAAAATGACACTGGTTAGTCAGCGGCGCCTTCCTCCAGCCCTCGCACAACTCAAACCTTTTCACATTTTCTCACGTTCTAAATGTATTTAATTGGTTTTCATTATGTAATTGACCAACACAATGTAGTGCATAATTGGAAAGTGGAAGGAAAATGAAACATAGCTTCCCCAAATCTGACACAAACGATAATGTCAAAAGTGAGAGAAGCGTTAGATAAAGATATAGTTAGGAGTTCTTTCATTTCCCATTCTTTGCAGATGGGGAGCAATAGGTTTCAAGCCTTATCGCACATTTTTAATTGGACTTTGACTAGGCCAGCTTAACTAATGAATATGATTTGATCTAAACTGTTGCATTAGTCGTTCTACCGCAATGTTTACAGCCCTGAGAGTCTTTGGTCTGGTTAAATAAAATTTGTTTAGAGCCACTAATGCTATCAGTGTCATTCTTTACATACAACTGAATGAAAACAGCATTTTTTTTCAAAAAAATCAACCTTCATTCTAAAACTTATTTTCATTCTTTCGCAGTGTGACTGGTTTTCCTCTAGAACTGATCTTTATTCAACTTCATCCATCTTTTGAATTATGGGAATTGGCATGAAGAACAAAAGCAAACGCACCCGACACTTCTTAGATTTTTAAAATATGAGTGTTATTTTCCATCCACAATGATGCCGTACATAGATGAGGTGAATAAATGTGAAAAGGCTCAAGTTATGTGTATACTTTTGCAAGGCACCACGTGTAATAATGCCAACCTTCACACTAAAAATGAATCCTGAGTGCTTTATAGTTCCAGCTGCTCGACATACTGCCACATAAAACTACCAGCATTTATAATTCTGGGTTTATTAGTGTTTAAGGTAAAAAAAAAAAAAAAAAAAAAAAGGGGGGGGGGGCTTTATGATGTAAAATAATAATATAAATGACACAAAAACTGTTCTATGTGCATCTTGACTACTTGATAACTACTTTTTATTGAGCATCTTGCCAGTGGATCAGAAATGTCAGAAATGTTGGTGGTTCATGGAGAACCAGGTCATCCAGAAATAAAAGCCGGCGCAAATACGACTTTTATTGTTAACTTAATTTCTCAAATATCTTCTGACATTTTTAATCCATTCCATTCACAGTCACTGTCGGGTGGGATCCCGAGGTGTCACGCATCACACACACACGCATCACACACACACGCACACACACCCACCCACACACTTTGAGGTGAGCTCATGGCACACCCATAGGCACAGAGGGGTGAGGTGGGGGGAACCAGAGGTTGGGGGTGGGAGGGATAGAGGGGGAGGACACACACCAGAGCACCCTACCTTCTCAATGCAGGACAGCTGAGAGAGAGAAACAACAGAATATACCTGAGACCGAAGCCACGCATGCTCACACACCTTTACGTAACCACACAGACAGAACAGGAAGTGAGAGTGGGGGTTGTGATGATTTATTAAGAGCGCTGATATTTGGAGGCTTTTTGATCTTCGTTTGTTTTTCACTCCTCTACTTAGTGGTGGGGGGTGTGGAGGTGTTCACAGCTTTGAAGTCTAACCTGTTTAAGAAAGGTCTGGGAGGGGGGAAAAAAAATACAATAAGAGGGGCGTTTAGGCCCACTTACCCGCCGGGACACAGTGGCGTTGGTCCGCTCTTTGAGCTGGGGGTCTGTGGGGAGGCTGTTCCACACGATGTACGGCGTGTCGTACTTATCCCGAAGCTTCGGACAGCTCTTAAACAGGAAGTCTATGATGAAGAACTTGATACCGGCATACACTCCTGTGGAGAGGAGACATGGAAATGGACAAAGGTCAACGCTCCAAGTTATCCAATCAGTTTGTTGTCATTTCAATTAATTAAGAAATGCAAAAACTTAGAAATTATACTAGATTTCACTTCAAATTGAATTAATTTCTAATTTTCTTTTTAAAAGAAATTACAAATGACGTGGCTTTCAATTCAGTCGTTTCTCCTGTTGTATGACAGAGTATTAGACTGGCTGAAGTTCCAACATGATTTTCCATCAAAAAGTTTACAATTTTTTCTTCACTAAAATGTCAAGAATTCTGTTCTTTTTTAGCCAATCCTCAATATATTTCTGCAAGTATCTGGCTTCAAACACTGAACCTGTGGAGATGAAGGATTGAGGTAACTAGTCAGTTTTGTCCCGAACTTTCCAAAACCATTTACAAACAGATCAGATAAGCAATCAGCTGCCACTCACATGCAGGGCAGAGGGAGGTTACACAGCTACCTTATGAATGCATTTGTTTGTGTGCAATGAATGAAGAAAGAATAGGTCTATTTTTCGGCAATATTTAGATTGTCAGCTGGATGAAAGATAAATAAAAAAAGGGGAAGTGTGTGCGTGTGTGTCTCACCCATCATGAAACCCATCAGCTTGTATGGGAGGATGCAGGAGAAGATGAAAGCAACCCACAGGCAGATGTAGAGCTTCCTGGTGCTATCTGGCTGCACCCACATAAACAGACTGCAACACACACAGGAAAGAGATACACACAGAGTAAGTTGGACTTTCTCGGCATGCGGGGCAGGATGTGGTTTCAGGTGAGAGACTCACTTCTTTATCTTCTCCAGAATGTCGGCCATCTTACCGAAGATGTTCTGTGGAGAGAAAACACCAAAAACCATCAAATTTTTCCTGTTTTTTTTTTTTTCCTTTTTTTTACTTTTAAGACAGATTTTTAAAGAAAGGGCATCCTACCTGAGCTTTTTGTGCAACATCGAGTACAAGCTGAAACTTTTCAGATACAGTTAGGTCTTCCTTTGGGGGCTCCTGTAAAATATGAAGTTAAATTAGTAAATTAAACTAAAGTGCATTGTCTTCTGATCCAGAAGTCTTCGCAGTTCTCCTACCATGGGTTCAGACACTTCGGGCACAATGCTCCACTGAATCCTCCATCCTCTGACAGAAACAACAAAACATTCATGCAATTTAATCTAAAAATTTCAGTAATACCAAACAACACCCGTCTTGTTTATTAACATTTGATCTGCTTTAATGCAAGAAAAATAATAAAAAAGCACCTGGCGATGAGGTAATTCAAAGACAGGCGCAGGATGGCCAGGAAGAGGAACATGGGAATGGCCCAACCATGCCAAGCAGCATTCATGTAGATCTGAGGGAGAGAAAGAAACATTTACTTATCAGCAGCTAAACGGCCACGTTTGGTACGATCTTCAAACTAAAACTGAAAACTTGATGAGCACAGAAAACAACTATCGGCTTTATTTGGTTCCTTCAACAAGACAAATCAGCACAAAGTAGTGCGCAATTGTGGAAGGAAACCCCTGAATGAAATAAAAAACAAAAAAACAAATTCAGAAGTTACTTAATCACTAAAAGGAGACTTCTTTATCTCTATTTGATAAATTTATTTATGTGTTTTCCATCCTGAAATCCAACAAAATAAATAAAAATGCTGATACTGAAGGTTTTAACTTGATAAAACAAGGGAAAGCCTCGAAGGCTTTGAATGCTTTTGCAAGGCCACAGAACAAGTGGCTAAAGACGATTTGGCACAAGCTCTGGACATCAATGAAGATCTAATTAGACCACAGCAGTCTTTGGCAGAGTCACTAAAACCTATAAACAGAAGTCACTGCCACTCATTTCGGCTTTCCCTCATGAGCCGACGCTAACTGGGATCCTAAAAACCAAGCTGTCATGTAGAGGTTTTGTGTGGAGCGTTCACTCACAATGAAGGCAATAGCTGAGGTGTAGACAGAGTGCCAGTTAGATAAGGCGGAGAGGTTCCTTAAGAAGTTAGTGACAGGTCTGGCTCCTCGTTCTGAAAAGGTAAACAAACAAACAAAAAAGACGTAAAACATAGGTTAGAATTATTTCATACAAGTTTATATAATATAGTGTTTTGTGGCGATATTACATCACCATCTCTGTTTTTGGTTTGTGTGGGTGTTGTTTTTGCACTCACTGAGTCGCCTCATGTTTTCTGTCAACCTGAAAGGAGAAAAAGGAAATAAACAGGTTTAGGAAACTGCACAAAAAAAGAAAATTAAAATTTAAAAAGTAGGAGGTCACACTGTGCTGTAAGCCTTCATAAGCCTATGACTCACACTCCCTTCATAGAGGTGGAGAAATAAATCCTCCAACTTCCTACGTGCAAAATAAAAGCTGATCTAAAGACGGCGCCTAGATACAATGACAACAGTACCAAATATTTTAAATATGAACTCAGTTCAACAAGTTTTAACCATAAAATCTGAAAGCTGCAGCCTGTTGTCTCTCTCTTCACTCAGCAGAGGTTCTGCTTTGGAGGAAACCCGGCCCACCTTTTAGCACTTAGCGGCTCCTCCGTCTCGACAGTGCTCTCCTCTGGCTGGAAGCGAAAGTCTTCGATGTAAACCCCGAACCGCTCGTAGAGCCACTTCTGCAGCCGCGAACTCCACACCTCCTTCTGCTGTTTCTCCGCTAAACACAGAAGGAAGCACAGCAGACAGGTCAGAGGTGGAACTGTGAAAACACACTGAGGTTGGTGTCTGTAGAGAAAGTGCTAATTAGGAGTTAGGGCTGGGCGAGATCTAATTTTTTTGGTTTCTGAAGATCAGATTTTCTTTTATGTCCCCTTGAAAATCTGGATTTTGAGGTAGCAATTCCAACACAAAAAAAAAATGGCACAAGCTTTTTTCTCCTTAAACTATGATTTTAAGAAGTTATTCTTGTAAGATTGCATCTTTATTCTGCTAATTTTAGGACTATATCCTCATAATTAAAACGGATTTTATATATATATATAAATATATAAATAAGTTCTTCTGCAAACACCGTTTCCTCCTCACAGAAAAAAATGTATCAAAATTCTCCATTGGATCTGGCATGAAAAAAAAAAAACATTGGAGGTTTTATTTTTAAGCTGCATCGCTCAGTCCTATAAGGACTCAAACTTTGTTTAATTGAATAGCAAAAACAATAAATTGTAGTAAATGGTTTATTTAAAAAAGGCATACATGAAAAAATAACAGGATACTGTCTGACAGAAAAGTCTACCCATGATTACCTAGCAACAGCTAGCTTCAAGATTGGAGCAAACTGGTAAAACAAAAACCAAGCCAAGCAGGGAGAAAGGAGAAAACATTTTCCTTACACAGAGAAACTCCTACCGTTTTGGCCTTTGGCAGCATCCACATGCAGCTCTTTCAGAAACGACACCGTTAACCGTCATCAGAACAAAAGCTGCCACTACAGCGAGCCGATTGGTCTAAACCTCTGTGCTTTTGCTGAAAACCCTCTAACGCTCTTTTACAAACTACCAAAAGCAAAGGAACACAACACTGTTCAACAAGACAATACCACCAATATTATTATTACAATTTAAAGTTTTGATTAAGGCAAATGAGCAAGATGGTAAACATTAATGTGTGCTCACTTTGTTTGTCTGGCCTGAATATGCACCACAAGAGGCAGTGTTAGTCTGAGAAGACGAAGGAACTCATTCTATCAAAGTTTGACTTCCAGTGACTTCTGTGTATGTGTGTGTGAGATAGTGTGTGTGGCTGGCTTTAAGAGAAAGGAAGATGCCAGAGTGCAGTCAGTGGGGAGGGAGGCTGGAGCTAATTTAAAAAAATAGGTTATGATTGTGGATCACTTCATGTAGGTCAGATGAGTCTGAGTCTTACCTTGAGTTGAGGCTGAGGTGTGTGAAGGAGTGTTTGCAGAAGAAGAAATGACTGAAACTATGATTGCCGTTAACATTTTTTAGCGAGTTAAAATTGGTAAATGCACTTAAACTGCAAGTGTGTGTTATAGCTGCCACTCACAGCCTCCAAACTTTTTCAGCTCACTTTGTTTCAGCAGCTCCATCCTGAAACCTGAAGCCCCGCCTCCATCTTTTTGATTTACTTTTTCCAAGCCCACCTCTCCCATTCGTTTCATGTCTGTGCCCATCCCGCCCCCTCTGACCCTTACTCTGGGACGTACCCGTGCCATTGTTGGAGGGCGACTGCTGTTTTCGGGGCGGCTGCGGTGGCGAGTCCTCCAATCTGAAGGTGGAGAACGAGAAAAAGAGACAGAAAGCACAAATGATTTGTGACATCACAAACGCTGGCGTCGCACGAGAAAGGTCTCGGAAACAACAGCTGCCATGACGGATGCAGGCGGATTGATTGGAAGCAATTTTAGACACAATCAGTCCAAGTTGAGACAACAGGCTAACAGCAGGTACTCGACAAAATAATCAATGCTAAAAAATAAATAAATACAAAATTGGAACCCGCTGCAAAATCAATATGATACATTCGTCTTGAAATTTCATCTATAAATACAGACTCAGCTGTCATAATTCCTCAAAGCAGATGAAAAATATGACATGAATATGAGCAGCAGCTAAAATACAAGAAATTGTCAAATGAATGAAGCATTCCTTATGTAGACACACTGAGAAATCAATCTTCTAATTCCTGCCTGAGCCAACTGGTAATCTTTATAATCTGATTTTTCAATCATTAAACTATAAAGTGTTACCATGCCAGTTCTGGTAAGAAGCATCTAAATGTTCCACTGTGAATGTTTCTGGACATCCAGACACAGAAGGAGCGTTCAGCTTCTATGCACCATAAATCTGGAACATAACAGCTGAAACTGAGTTCCTTTAATCAAAGCTGTTTAGAATTGCTTTTGAACCATAATAGGTGAAACACTGACTGACATATTTGATGCGTATTGATGATTTGGATGATGGCACTCATCAAAATGTAATGTTTGCTTCTGGTTTCTCATTTGTTGACTATATGTAGTCTTTTATGACTTTGTACTTTTGTGTTTTATGATGTAAGGCACTTTGAGCTGCCTTCTTGATTAAATGTGCTGTGCAAATAAACTTGATCGATTGATTCACCTTTGCTACTATCGTACATAATGACAATAGGAGCAGAGGATAAAACATTTCTAATGTATTAATTGTGATGCTTCAAGAGAAATCTAAATCAAAATTGGACTCTGATCGCTTCATCTCCAAGATAAAAATTAAATAAGGTTAAGGACAATACTTACCACTTTTATTCTTAACAGTTGCATATTTTTCTATGATACTAAATTAAATGCTAATCTTACCTCAAAGCAACTCTGTCACATTTTAAGTCATTCTGTTTTGACAGCAATCAGTAAACAATTGCTCCTCTGAGCCTCACAGGAGGTCTTTCACTACGCTGGCCAACTGCTGATACATTTAGGAGGAATTAAAATAATTTGTCTCTTTTTTTTTTTCTGCTTTAGTTTTGCAGCAGACTCCAGCCAGCTGGAAGCTACCGACTAGAATTCAAAGCTCTGTGTTCAGGACTCCTGTGGCTTCTCCCACATTCCTAAGGTGGCTGTAGTGATAATCACACGGAGATCTCGGGAGGAATCTCTCGGTGGTGAGTGGGTTGCACGCCAACCAGACAGTCAGAGTTCAGCTGACATCAGCATAGCCGCGGGGTCACACGAAGTGGACGGTCTCTCTGATCATCTCGTGACTTGGTCCCGTTTTTTTCCGTCTCCTATGAAGCGCGCGCGCACACAAATTCACGTCCTTGAGGAATTTCCCGCCTATAAAGTTGCTGATCCTATTTATAACAGGCGCCGGCACTGGTAAACAGACACACACTTTGACCTAGGGTGAACTCTGCCGGGCCGAAACGAAGCGTTTGCTCCAGCTCACCTCGTCCTGAGGACCTCGTTCATCTTCTGCTCCAGATCCAGCCTTTTACTCCGCTCCCTCTCCAGCTCCTGCCGCAGCGAGTCCACATTGGTCTCTTCACGCAACTTCCTCAGCTCCTCCTCTAGAAAAGGATAGAAATCCTGGAAATCAGTTTGCAGCATTCTCTTAACGAGACGACAAAGCAGCCATAAAGAGCGTCACACACACAGAGTCAAAGTTTACACTGTCTTTCAAGCAGTTTTGGAGACGTACGACTCTTTCATTTCCTCATTCGGTTTCACATCACCAATATAAGAAAAAAAAAAAGAAAAAGCGAGCTTTTGCTTTAAAAGCCGAGTCCAAGTCAACCTACATTAGCTGGTTTCAGGTGTCAGGACTTTCAGAGTGTCGACTGCGGCATCAGCAAAGTTTCCTCTCACACCATTGTCCCAGACTAAAAGGGACACATGAATATTGGAGGAGGGACGAGGCCAAGAAAAGCGTGCAGAAGCGACAGCGCTGTAATGCTGCTCAAAAGTATACTTTAAATCCCCCAAATGCAGAGAAATAATCTTCATTAAACATGGACCCTATGATGGCCTTAAGTTATGAGAAGGAGCCATGGTGTATATTTATCACTCATCCATTAATGCTTTTAGTTCACAAAAACAATTTGGCTGCTACGCTTTCGTTCTCGGCTAATTTCACATATTACTTTTGTCCTTCATCTCCTCCAGTTAATGCTCGTGAAACATTTACTGTCTGGACCTCCAGCTGCTCAGGCATCAGCTTAACATGGAGTCAAAAGGTTTACACTTTGGTTGACCCGTTTACATTTTATCTCTCACTGGACAGAGTACAAAATATTAATTAAAAAATCCTTCAATTTCTATAATAAAGTTTAAAGTACTTAGTATAACTCAATGTTTCTTTAAATTATGCATATCAGTAACTCATGGAGCCATTTAGGAATAATTGCAAAGAAAGAATCCAAACAAATGCAAAAAAAATTCTTGCAAAGTTTTTTTTGGCATTAACAAAGAGAAATAACATGGATATTCTCGCTGATCTAAAACAAGAAATATTTAATCTGATTTTATTTCAAAGAGTGAGAAAAAAAATATCTGTAATTGAGGTATGAAAATCTTTCTTTGGGGGAGACCTGGCTTTTGTCTGGTTCTCTAAAATGCATTTGCTCTTAAGATAAAATTCAGCAGCGATAGGAACGCAAGTCAGTCTTGAGTATTCCTTTCAATTTATCTGTGCAAGGCTTTTCTAATCTGGCCTTCAACACTTCTGCACATGGCCAAACAGTAGCCTCGCTCGGTGAATGGTACGGCCTTTACGGTATAAGCAAATGGCTGGTCAAAGGTTGGAAAGGGCAGTAAGCAGCTTAATGCTCGCCTGACGGCGCCACGCAATAAATTTTCACAGCTGAACATAAACCTGATAAACCAAATGCAGACAGAAGCTGGAAAGCGTTGTGGCAGATGTACTTTATGAAGAAAAAATGGCAAGGCAAAGTTAGCCAATAAAAAGTTGTCTTTGAGTAGCTGATCTCTTGTCGATTCCTCTGGTACAAACGGAAGTTCATCTTTTTAAAAAAAGCACATGAAATAAAATGTGCCTCGTCCCAGAAGTCCATCCAGGACACTGCTGTGGAAATAGGGCATCCAGTTCGTGATACAACACAGCATGACACAATACGCTATATGTGTCAGACAAAAAGAGCGGGAGTACAGTTATGCCCCTATTCCAGAGTGGCTCTCTACATTAGATACCATATTAATAATTCTGTCAATATGCTTGCCCGTTCTGCTTCTAAAATAGGACTGCTGACTTCTAGAGAAAATGCTCTAAGTTAAAGTGTCACAGGGCATCTTTGGCAAACTGAAGATCAGGAACTGAACCATTTATCTGCAGCACAGAATAAGGATTAGCTAAATGTCAAGGCAAACGTCACTTTGAATCACAGTGACCTTCCTCCGGTGCGAGCTTCTAGGAAAAAGGAGGGGGGGAAATGGATTTTCAAAAAGGACAAACAGGTACTTGAAACCAGAAGAGGAGAACATCTGGAAACACATTTTTTAATTACGTTTCCAGTTATAATTTGAGCTAAGGGATGGTGTTTTACTGAGCTATAAAAAGGTGTTAAAGGCTATTGAAACTGGTGATTATTTTTGGTAATATTTTCCTGATTGGTTCAAAAGTTACTGAATAAGTGACCAACCAGTGTTTCTTAAAATCAAACTTACGACTTTAAGGTGTTTTAATGTCACCTTGAAATAAATTTAAAACCAAAACACAATGAATACACAGAAAAATGGTTGAGGGATCCGGTATTACCATAAAGCATAGCAAAAACTAACATTTCTGTTTGAAGCTCTGGGCGATAACTTGTTGCCAAACTTAAGTTTTTTTTCCACCTAGCCTCAGATGAGTTGCCAAGTGAAGTGGCAAAAACAAATATCACCCAGCCAACTGCCCATAAATTTGCACTGACTCTTGATAGATGCAAAACAGCTACCTCGCTTGGTTACTAAGATATTTTAGCAGCTACTTAACGGTAGCGTCGACTGTCTTGCGTCACAGAACGCAAAGATGTCTGCGTGCAATTCAAACTTTGGTCTGACAGAACAGTCCTGTGAGGAAAAGAAAAATACAAGAATGCATAGGATTAATTAGATCTCCCAAGACAAAATGTAGGACCTCTGATTGACATATTTAAGGCCAACTTACTTTTATTTTTTTAAGACAGTCATTTTAAGGCATCGATTTTAGACACATTGCTTTTAGACTTTTTAAGGATTCACAGTATGCATCACAGTATTCTTTAAAATATGCTGTAATCAATTTCATGTCCACTGTTCTAGATCAAATCAAGCATGAAGCTGTACAAAGATAAATTAAAATTAGTTCATTACCCTCTGGACAAACAATTTGTTTTCACAAACCGTTATGTTTTGCTTTTGTTTCTTTAGAATAAAAGGACTCAAAGATAGAATCTTGAATTGTTCTGCTCGATGGCAACTCTAGTGTGGTAACTTGCTCTTGTTTATTGTTGCTCCAAAAGTGCTACCAACCACAACTAGAACTGCAGTTGATGATGAAACTTCCTGTTCCAGTGCAGCCGCACAGCTTCTTGGTGCTTGTGACAACAATCACGAACTGCAACCATTAAAGAAAAACTTGCTGTTTGCTGGTGACCAACAACAATATGGCATTTGTTGTTTTGCAGTTGATGCTGTTGATTGCGTCAACCAAAGCCGGGTGGAATTCCAAGGTAGATTAAACGATTACCAAAACAAACAAGTGAATCAACATTTGTGCACCATTAAAGCTCTAACAAAAACAATAAATACTCTTGATTGATCAAAACCCAGGTTCTATTTCTAACTAGACAAGTGACAAGACACCTCAGAGGAAGAGATGAAAGCTTGCTGAGAGTTAGCCAAACTATGATCAGCTATAAAGGATTTTATTTCTGTTCACATGTACCTCAGGTGTATAATTATAACCTATCTTAAAAATAAGTTACAAAATCAAATCACATCTTAGTAAAATTCCTGCCCATAATTTCCAAAGTCTAGAGGTCAGAAACTTACTGAGATTGAAGTTACTTTTATGGCTTTTGATCCTATCCACTGCTCCACTGTAGAGCAGCTCAAAGCTGTCAAAGGTGCAGTCCTCCAACTTGCACATCCCCATACGTCTCTGCAGCTGTCCACTTCCTGGGACACTTGCGCAGGACCGAGACGGCAGGGTGGCCGCCTTGGGCTTGTCCTGAACTCGCGCCACGGCTTCCCGCTGTTTAGTCTCTTTCTGCTCCAGAAACAACTCAAAGTTCCCCCAAACGCTGAGCTACAGCGTGCACCGCATTTTAGTTTCATCCATAAGGTGAGACAAGCGGCTGGAGGAAGGACACTGCAGGCAAATTTTAATCAGTCGCAACAAAGCAGGGCCTGCACGCAGAGCAATGGTTGGTGGTGGAAACAGGAGGAAGGCAGTGGAGGTAGAGAGAGAGGGGTGGGGCTTTGCTGGGTGTCTGAGCCCTCATTCAGAGGGCTCAGAATGAGAGATTTCCAAACACAACAGAGTGGTCAAATGATCCGAAAAACATCTTTCTGAACAACTTTGTAAAAATATGTCTTAAATCATTTGCCTTTTGGCAACTTTGTGCTGTTCTGTAGTGTTCAGATATACTGTAAATATTACACAAGATGCTCCCTTTTATCAAAGTGGGCAGACTTTTTAGGACCTGGAAGGGAAAGTATAGCACCACTTTCTCTAAACCAGAGACAATGGCTCCTTTCAGTAAAGGATGGAGGAGGTGGGGGAGGCATTGGTGGTGGAGTGTGTGGGGAGACAGAGAAAAATCAGCCGCTTCACACTGGCCTCTTATTGTTCTCATGTACAACAATGTTTGCCAAAGCACTAGTTGACTTGGACAGAACAAGGTTTGGGGCCTCCAGCTGACCTGCAGATCGACAGACTGACCAATGGAGAAAGCAGAACGCGGATGGAGGGGAGGGAGGGTGTAGCAAACAAAAAACCAGCTCAAATAACAGTCAGCTAGAGGTGGAGATAAGATGAAAAGCGGGCGTAGTTTGTTTGCTTTGCCTAGTGTTTAAAAAGCTTATAGTTGCGTATTTTCAGCTATAAGCAAAACTCAAAATGTCAGGAATGTCAGTTAAAGTTCAAATCACATCATGATATTTCATAGTTGGATTCATGGCATAATGAATCAGCCAGAGGAACTAAAATCTGTGTACATCTAATCTTATTTCCATACATGGATGACCAAATTTTAGTTTTAAAGAATAATACATGCTTGAAACAAAAAGTCATTTATATTCTGTAAATTTTTAGGTATACACCAATCTGAAACTGGAGGCTTAATATCGGTCAATATCAATTCGATACAGAATAACGGTGCTAAATTGACTTCAAATTTTTCTTTTTTGTGAGCTCTAAATTTCAAATTTATTTGATAATTCTGCCGTACTTAAATCCACTGATGGCTTCACACGAAGCCATTAGTGGATTATATGCAAAAACAACTTTACAACAATGACAAATAAGAAACTGAAACAACAAAAGCAATAGGTTAACTACCTTTGTCAAATATGTTAAAATAAATAG